AGTTTTAGTAGAGACGGGGTTTCACCATGTTGACCAGGATGGTCTCGATCTCTTGACCTCGTGATCCACCCGCCTCGGCCTCCCAAAGTGCTGGGATTACAGGCATGAGCCACCGCGCCCGGCGAGAATCAAGTTTCAATGTGCTAGAGGAAGGAACCACCTCATTGAGCAGATGACTCAAAACTATATCTAGGCTGGGGTGGTGGCTCATGCCTGTATTCGCAGCGCTTTAGGAGGCTGAGGCGGGTGGATCACTTGAGGCCAGGAGATCAAGACCAGCCTGGGCAACAGGGCGAAACCCTGTTTTGATTTTTTTCACACAAAAAATGTACATTTTTTTTTTTTTTTACCAAAAAAAAAAAAATTAGTCAGACATGGTGGTGGCACACATCTGTAATCCCAGCTACTTGGGAGGCTGAGGTGGGAGAGTCGCCTGAAGTCAGGAAGCAGAGGTTGTAGTGAGTGGAGGCTGTAGTGAGCCGAGACTGTGCCACTGCACTCCAGCCTGAGCAAGAGTGAGACTCTGTCTCAGAAAACAGAAAACAAAAAAATTACAAAAAAACCCAACTGTGTCTATAGTAGCTCTGTGATAAAAATATGGCCTTTAGAATTAGGCCTTATTCCATCCCTCAGCATGTGTGTGACCTTGGGCAAATAGCTTTTTTTTGAGACACGATCTCGCTCTGTCATCCAGGCTGGAGTGCAGAGGTACAAACACAGCTCTTTGCAGCCCCAACCTCCTGGGCTCAAGTGATTCTCCTGCCTCAGTCTCCCGTGCAGCTGAGACCACAGGTGCCCACCACTATATCTAGCTAATTTTTTGATGTTTTTGTGGAGATGGGGTTTTGCCATGTTGCCCACGCTGGTCTCAAACTTCTGGGCTCAAGCGATCCTCCTGCCTTGGCCTCCCAAAGTGCTTAATTTACAGGTGTGAGCCATTGTGCCCAGCCATGGGCAAGTTACCTAACCACTCTGAACCTCAGGTTCTTCATCTGCAAAATGAGGATGAAAAGAACACCTACCCCATAGACTGTTCATGAGGGTTGCACCTGGTTGTGCCTGGTCCCTGTTAGCACTGCGGAAATGCTAGTTATCCTGATACCATTATTATTGTTTGACTTTGGAAGATATTGAGGGATCTTTTTATCTTCTCCGCTTCCCCCCTGCAGATTTTCCCTCCAGCATATCTCACCTGGGTTAATATTAAGGTGAGTTTGCTTTGCCAAGGTACACATACAAGGCCTGTCAGAGAGGGGCAATCCAGACAGGCTGGAGGGTGAGAATCAAACATTTGCTTTGATAACTCATCTCAGCCACCTCTTTTATGGATAAACAAAGACTGACTTCAATAACACACTGATAACCCTTCCATGGTTTTTTAGAGTGCTGCCAAGACTCACCTTGGTTACGGTGAGGAAAGAGGAGAGTCAAGACTTGGATTCAGAAGCCACACTTCCCTCTGGCTTCAGCTGAACTCACCTGGGAGTGTCTTCACTCGGCACACGTAGGGGGCACTCTCCTTGAACCAGGTGGTAACAAAGACCGTGATGGTGCCAAGGAACTCTGTGTCAGGCGTCAGGCCGAAGAACTCATACTCTCTCTGCTTCCCTTCAAGGCGCTGCATGGGACAGAGAACCCACCGTGATTCCTGTTACACACCAATCTCCACATGGATCCCAAGAAAGCTCAAACCAGAAGCTGATGGGTCTGTCTTTGGCCCTCTGTTCCCATTCCCCTCCCTTCTGCTTTATGCCCAAATCCAATCAATCAGTCTCCAAACGCGTGTGCCTTTCACTTGCAACACTATCCGGCCCATAGGAAGTGGTTATACGCTCTAGCTGCTGCCATTATGACCTCCACCACCCTCCCACCCTCCCACCATCCCTCTCGTTCCAATTCTTCTCGTCTCTCAACTTTTCTTTGTTAAACATCAAAAACTCTCCAAATACTCATCCTTTCTTTTTTTCCTCATTGCTTCTGCCTTAATTGGGCCCCAGGCCTTCGGCCTGGACCCTAGCAGTAGGCTCTTTCAAGCTCACTCATCTCCGGGTTTGCCCCTGTTGACTTCCATATTCATCTTGGTGTCACAGGGATCTTCCTAAAAGATAACCTGATTATAATGCTCTTCTATTCAAAAGCCTTTGATGGCCTCACCCATATTTACAGAATAGAGTTCCGGTCCCTGGCTTCCAGTCCAGACTCATGTATCTCTGCACCCCACCTGGCTCTGCAGGCTCTTCAATGCTGGATACCTGTCACTCAGGTAAACAGTTGCCTTGCATAAGAAAGCCCTAGTTTCTTTGCATCTGCCGGTCCTTCTGCTGGAACTGGGCTTTGATTCTCATTCCTCTGTGTATCTCTCACCTCTTTGACACCAAACTCCTCTCCCACGGATGCCACATGTCATCCTCTCTGGCTCTCCTCCTGCCTCTCTGATTGGTCTTTCACTGGCTTTAGCCCCTCTGTGTTGTTCTGCAAGGTTTGCTCTTCAACCATTTCCTTCTCTTTCACAGACTCTCTTGCCACTTAGTGATCTTATCTGAGCCCATGGCTGCTATGAGCACCAATGTGTGAATAACTCCTAAACTTATTCAGGAAGAGCTGTTGAGTCTCTGATGGGCCCTGGCAGCTCCCTGATGGATGGTAGCACGTGGGCGTCTCTAAGTCAACATGTCCAAACATGCTGGCCTCCTCTCTCTGGGGCCTGCTGCTCCATCCCAAACCCCAAACCCACATCTGTTTTTAATTCTCTAATTTTGGTAACAACATCACTCTTCTTCTAACATCCAGGGCCTAAACTTTGAAGCCATTTTGGACGAATCCCCTCTCATATCTTAAGTAGCTAATTGCCCTTAAAGGACCCAAAAAGCTTCCTTTAAAGGGCCAGAACCCGTGTTCTTGGGAGTTCAAAAACTGAGAATTTTCTTCTTTGGGTCTTTGCATTTCAGCTCTGCCTTCTCTTTTTCAGGCACATGGAGGCCAAGGTTGAGGGTAATTTATTGTTTTCTTTTGTGTGTGTGTGAATGGGGGCGGTGGTGAGAGTGGGTAAAGAAGCACATAAATGCATTTTTTAACCTATTGTACTGTGGAACTCATATGGTGAAACTGGACACATTACATATCATGAGATAGAACCCCAGGAGATTTGCCAAGGCCCTGATTCCTCCTTCCCCAAGTTTTTCACTCCCACCATCCTGGTTCAGCCCTTATTTCCAGCTTATGCCATTGCAATAGTCTTCTAACCTTCTACTCTGATATCTCTTCTATTTCCATATTTGATCTTTCTTCATTTTGATCCTAGTAATTTATAGCTTCTATTGGACCAAACATCCCCAAAATAACAGCTATAAATTCTGAGCAAAATGAAAAACAATTACTTAAAGGCAGTAGAGAGAAAATAAAAGCAGGCACATATTGGAGAGAGGAGAAAGGGCAATGGGTAAATTTCCCATTTTTACTGTCTTTTAGCCTGAAGGCAGACCCCAGTCTTACCTTGTAGGATGGCTAAAACCTAGATAGAAACCCTGTATTCTTACTAACTTGAATACCCAAAAGGCGGGGTTTGGAATAATCATAGCGCCTGGAAAATGAGAGAATAAATCACAGAAAGGAGAGATCCACAGAGAAGAAGGCCCAAACTCTGTGTATAAACTCTGCTCAAATCCCTGACTGGCCCCTAAAGCAGGCATGAATGGGGTAGACGCCAAGCAGCCCAGATAAAGTTAAAAACAACAAAAAAAAAGAACAGAGATTTCAGAGTTTGGAATTCAGGCAAATTAATTGCCTGCTAAAACCAAATGAAACCAAACCAATACTCTTTGGAGGAATATAACAGAGTCTACAGTAATTTCAACATAATGTCCAGGATATGTTTCAAAATTGTTAGACATACAAAGAAAGAATATGTGACCCATATTCAAGAGAAAAGACAATCAACAGTAACTGACCCTGATGATCAGAATGTTGAATTAGCAGACAATGATTTTATTTATTTTTTTAAGACAGAGTCTCGCTCTGCCACCCAAGTTGGAGTGCAGTGGTGCGGTATCAGCTCACTGCAACCTCTGCTTCCCAGATTCAAGTGATTCTCCTGCCTCAGCCTCCTGAGTAGCTGGGATTACATGCGCCTGCCACCATACCTGGCTAATTTTTGTATTTTTAGTAGAGATGGGGTTTTACCACGTTGGCCAGGCTGGTCTCGAACTCCTGGCCTCAAGTGATTTGCCCACCTTGGCTTCTCAAAGTGCTGGGATTACAGGTGTGAGCCACCTCGCCTGGCTGACAATTATTTTAAAGCAGCTGTATAACAATGCTTCAGTAAGCGAAGCAAAAATACGCTCATATTGAATGAATGAATAGAAAATCTCAGTAGAATATGGACATTACAAAAACCGGGAACTTTAGAATTGGAAAAATTCTAGATATTATTATCTGAAATTTTAAAATCCACTGAATTATCACAACAACATTTTGAAAATGACAGAAAAAAATAGAGACCCTGAAGAAAGATTGATAAGATAGAATTAGATAGCGGTGATGGTTTCACAACTTGTGCATATGCAAATAACATCGGAATTGTATGCTTTAAAAGAATGAATTCCACGGCGTGTAAATTATAACTCAAAAAAAGGTAAAGGCTCTCAGAGCTAAAGAGATACATTTTAAATATAACAACAGAGACAGATTGAAAATGAATGTAAAAAGATACACAATGCAAACCATTGGAAGGCTGGAGTGGCTATATTAATCTAAAGTAGATAAAGTAGACTTCCAATACAAAGAGTATGACTACAAAAAAAAGGAACAATTCATATGACAAAAGGGTCAGTCTACCAGGAAGGTACAACAATCATAAATGTATATGTATTTAATAACTGAGTTTCAAAATGCGTGAAGCAAAAATGCACAGAATTAAAGGGGAAATAGAACTCCTGGGCTCAAGAGATCCTCTTGCCTTAGCCTCCCAGAGTGCTGGGATGACAGGCACGTCAGGTGTATAAACAGACACACCTATAGTTGGAGAGTTACTATTTTCAGCAATTAAATGACCAACTGACTTCTCACCTAAATCAGGAAAGACAGAGAAGATCTGAATATCACAAGTAACCACTTTTACCTAATTTATATTTACAGCACACACCACCAAACAACTGCAAAATATACATTCTTTTCAGGTGCACAAGGAACATTCACCAAGACAGGCCATAGGCTGGGCCAGAAATAACATAAGCCCCGATAAATTTAAAAGGACTGAAATCATACAGCTGTGTCCACAAACTGAGTAAGCTAGAAATCAGTAACAATAAAATATTTAGTAAGAACCCAAATACGTAACAAATAATAGACATGATAGGGACTCTCCCTGCTCAGTAATCTCTAGTGGCTCCCCCAACTACTGAAAGAAGTCCCCTCCACCACCCTAACCCTCCTACAACATAGTCCCATCCAGTCTTCTGAGATTTATCTTCCAGGGTCCCCCTACACCAGAGGTTCTCAAGCTCTGCGTTGGGGAAGAAGCACCTGGGTTGCTCACTAAAATCCAGATCCAAGGGATGCAAGTGCAAAATCTTAAGTTGACTGGAAGGGGACCCAAGGATCTGCATTTTAAACAAGTGCTGCAGGAGATTCTGATGCTGTTTCTTTGGGACCATGTTTTGAGAAACTGTTTTACATGTCCTTATGTTCCTGTCAAAGTGGGCAGTTCCAAAGTGCTTTTCAAAAATGTCCTAAGATGGCCGGGTGCGGTGGTGCACGTGTGTTATCCCAACACTTTGGGAGACCAAGGTGGGAGTATCTCTTGAGCCCAGGAATTCAAGACTAGCCTGGGCAACACAGTGAGGCCTTGTCTCTTTTTTAAAAAAATAGCTTAAGTTTTCCTATTTTTCTCTCTGATTATGGTGGAGCAGTATAGGCAGCCAGTGGTGGAAGAAATGTCGGCTAAACAGAACTGGATTCAAATTCTGTCTACACTATTATTTGCTGAACAACCTTGAGCAAGTGACTTAACTTCTCTTGGTTCCCTCATCTAGAAAATGGAGATGATAGAACCTTTCTCACAAGGCTCTGATGAAGATGAAATGATATAATATGCATACACTACCTGGCATGCATCTTATGCATACATTACCAAGATGCCATTAACATTAATATATTACCAGGCTTGTCCCAGAAATTGGTGTTGGCTTTCTGGAAGCCAATTTGATAGAATTAGATAGTGGTGATGGTTTCACAACTTTATGAATAAACAACATCTAAATTGTGTGCTTTAAAAGAATGACTTTTGGTATTGTCTTTCTGGAGGCCAATACCAATTTCTGAGGCATGTCAGGTCATATATGCATATTATGTCATTTTCGGCTTCCCAAAAGTTTTCTGGAAGTCTTCCAAACCTTGCTGCTCTGACATCCTGCCCCACCTCCCAATACCCATATTTTCCTCTACTGATAGCTATTGCATTCTTGTTTTAACTCCCTCTTCACCCCCTAGATTATAAGCTCCTTGCAAGCAGGAACCACAAAGTAGGAAATAAATATTAATTTAACTGAATTGTGGATTGGTGGCACGTGTTAGGGGTAGGGGGTACCAAATATTTTCTGAATACAAAAAGAAAGAACTTCTATATTATTTGACAATTTATGCCCTTGCCTTCTACCTCTTAGTATTACTCATCTTACCACATTCAACTGTATATAGTTCCTGCAAATAGTGGAGAGCTAGTAAAAAGAACTGCAGCAGTAGAAAGTGATCCTCGCATTTTCTAAAGTGAACATCTGAAGATATTAACAGAGGTTGTTCCCCAGGATGTGAGAAGGTATTAAACAAAAAATAATGTAGCCAGGCGTGGTGGCTCACGCCTGTAATCCCAGGATATTGGGAAGCTGAGGCAGGTGGATCACCTGAGGTTGGGAGTTTGAGACCAGCCTCACCAACATGGAGAAACCCCATCTCTACTAAAAATACAAAATTAGATGGGCGTGGTGGCGGGCGCCTGTAATCCCAGTTACTCAGGAGGCTGAGGCAGGAGAATCACTTGAACCCCAGAGGCAGAGGTTGCAGTAAGCAGAGGTCATACCATAGCACTCCAGCCTGGGCAACAAGAGCAAAATTCCGTCTAAAAAAACACACACAACCAACCAAACAAACAAAAAACAGTTTCTCTGGTCAAATAAATTTGGGAGAAGTTGTATTAAACAAATTGATAGTGGAGTCTTGGCTCTGTAGGACTTGTCAGAGCTTTTGGCTGGCTATTGCGTGTGTGAATCTACAAGAGAGAGGTTGTCATTTGTGATGTTTTCCAGGCTTCAAGGAGCCTCTCAAGGGACATGTTTTGGGAAATGCTGATTTACATAACATGTCCCCTTTTTTCTTAAAGCAGCTCAGATCTAATTGAGAAGGGAGAGGCTTCCTAGGCAGAGAAGGACCAGGGTGCAACATACACTTACCATTTGGTAGGTGTGGTTGACTTGGAGCTCTAGGCGGTAGGACAGGTCTTGGAAGATTTCTTCCAGGGTTAGCCGGTGGCCATCCCCTGCACGGATGGGCGTGGGGGTAGGATGAACAATCATCTGGATTGATCTCACTTTGGGGATACAGGTCACATCAGGTGGTTTGAGGGTAGCTGGGGATAGGGAGACAGAAAAGAGAAAAGAAAAGTCAGAATTGATGCGTAGTATCTGAGGCCACCCTGAACAGTGGAAAATGACTGGACTCTCTCTCCTTCCACTCCAATGCCAGCTAAACAAACAGTGAAAAGAGAGACGTTTCTGCAAGCCCTGGTGTTTGGGTTTCAGGCTGGCAAAGGGATGACCAAGGGTGGATGAAAAGAACCCAGCGTGAGGGGTGCCAGCTGCCTCGCTTAGTCATGCCTTTGGCTTGCCCTACACATCCCAGCCCCCTGTGTCCCCACCTTAAGTCAGCCTGGAACACCCTTCCCCCCTCATCTATTGAGTATGACAGCTTTGGGGATGTCAATGACATCAACTACACATCCTAAATAATATCTGGGGCCTAATACTAGGATGCAGCCTCAAAGGTCAGGCTGAAGACTTCTGTCTCTCTCAAGATGGAATTTTCCAAATCACCAAATGACCTTTGCTGGTTTTACTCCTTTGAGAATGTGATGAAAACTATGGCTCTTCTCCCTGCCAAAATGTACACATACAAAAATCTTGCATCCAACTTCAGGGATTCATAGACCTCACTTCCCCTGAATCTAATTTGTAAAAATACCTCAATGATCCAGTGGCCTTGAAGATTGAAAATAGCTGAGTCAGAACAATGTTTACTTCAGTGGTGCTAATAAAATTGAAAATCTGAGCTGTATGTTCTCAAAAAGGGAAATAGATAAGTAAATTAGAGTACCTCCCTAGAATGGATCATTTTGCACTGTGAAATACCATGTTTGCGCAAAAATGTTTAATGATACGAGCAAACATTCACGATACAAATAGATGGAGAAAATGAACGCAGGACCAAAAGGCAATGCCACATTGCAAAATAGATACAGCTACTAGTAACTGCAGTTATGTTTGAATGGTAAGGTCACTTTGGGTGACTTTTATTTTTTTTTGTGTATTTCTATATTTCACAAATTCTCTACAGTAAGCGTGAATTCATTGAACAAGCCAGGTTAAAAATACAATACTTAATTTTATTTTTAATTTTTTTAAAAAGCTATCTGTGACTGTAAAGTCAGCTGGTGAACATCATCACATGCTTAGCTTGTGTGGGGAGTTTGCCAACTGTGTTAGTCCGTTCTCACACTGCTCATAAAGACACACCCGAAACTGGGTAATTTAGAGGAAAGAGGTTTAATTGACTCATAGCTCCACATGGCTGGGGAGGCCTCAGGAAACTTACAATCATGGTGGAATGAGAGGCAAACATGTCCTTCTTCACATGGTGGCAGGAAGGAAAATGAGAACCAAGCAAAAACAGAGACCCTTTATAAAACCATCAGATCTCGTGAGAACTTACTATCATGAGAATAGCATGGGAGAAACTGTCCCCATGATTCAGTTACCTCCCATGGGTCCTTCCCACAAGACAGGATTATAGGAACTAGAATTCAATATAAGATTTGGGTGGGGACACAGCCAAATCATATCAGCAACTGCTATCCACTCCTTCATTCATTTACTGAGTATCTTTGTTTTCTTTTGAGACAGGATTTCACTGTGTCATCTAAGCCGGAGTGCAGTGGTGCAATCCCAGCTTACTGCAGTCTTGACATTCTGGATTCAAGCTACCCTCTCACTTCAACCTCCTAAGTAGCTGGGACTACAAGTGCATGCCAATGCATCTGGCTAATTTTTAAATTTTTTATAGAGATAGAGTCTCACTGTGTTCCCCAGGCTAGTTTTGAATTCCTAGGCTCAAATGATCCTCTTGGCTCAGCCTCCCAAAATGCTGGGATTACGGGTGTGAGCCACCACGCCCAGCTATTGAGCATCTTCTATGTGCCAGGCACTATGCTGAGGGCTGAGAATGTGGTGGATTCTGCCGCCCACACGGGTCGTTCTCCAGCTCACATTTTAGAGAGGGAGGCAGATAACACGTGTCAGCAAACACAGTAATTGCAGCATGAGTGATGAAGACGATAAACTCTATATTGCAATAGAGAATTACAGTTGGCAGCCTACCAAAATCAGGTGGTCAGGGCTGGAGGTGGGGACACTGACTTCGGAGGTGATGTTGAAGCTGAGCCCTGAGGACTGGAAAAGAGCCAGTCATGTGAAGAGCCCACAAGTGCCCCCAGACAGTGGGAGCAGCAAGGACCCCGAGGCAGGAACTGTCAGAGGCCTGGCTGCCCTGGGAAGGCATGTTCAAGATTAGGACCACGATAGGCAGCGCCTCAAGGGCCATGGCAAGGAGTTGGATCTTATTTTAAGAGTCATGAGAAGCTCCCAGAGGGTTTAAGCTGAGAAGAGAAGGTGGGATTTATGTGTTGAGGAAATCTCTCTAAATGCTCTGTGGAGAATGGGCTGGAGGAGGTGGTAAAGGGGGGAGTTGGGGAAACAAGTTAGGTGGCTTTGACCACAGTCAGTTGAGGGGTGAGATAAGCGTAGTCTGAACTAGGGAGGTTGGGATGGAGGTGGAGAAAAATGAACAAATCTGCTAGGGCCACACAGTAATTGATGGGGGGGGTGTGGTGCCTTCCCCAAAAGTCACACCCCCAACTGTCCCCCTCCCCTTGCAGAAAGCCCCTTCTGGGCCCTCCACCCACTCCAGAGGGGAAGAGCCATCCCACCCCAAAACACCTGCGCTTTCCTCTCCCCTCCCCTGAAGCCCACAGGGGCTCCAACTCACTGTGTTGCAGAGCGCTGAACCTGTCGGTCATCTTGGTGGCTGTCCAGCCTCCCGCGCTGACGGCGGTGACCCTGGCATAGTAGAGTTCCGTGAAGTTGCCCGTCTCCACCGTCAAGTTGCAGAACTTCCGGGTGATCCGCTGGCAACCCTTCTTTGCCACCCAGTCGCTCTCTCCGTACCTGCAGGCCAGGGAGGGGCCGGGTCACCGAGGTGATGGAAAGGCTGGCCCTAGCCCTGTGGCTTATTAATAATGTCAAGGAGATCTAATTTACTTAGCACATTCAGTGGCCCAGGCCCTTTATATGAATATCTCATTTTGTTCTCACAATGATCCTCTGAGGCATTTTCTTTTTCTTGCTTTCCTTCTCTTTCTCTTTTTCTTTCTCTCTCTTTCTTTCTCTTTCTCTCTCCCTCCCTTTTCCCCTCCCTCTCCCTCTCCCCCTCCATCCCTCTCTCCTTCTCACCCTCTCCCTCTCTCTTTGTCTTGTTGAGACAGGGTCTCGCTCTGTCGCCCAGGCTGGAGTGCAGTTGCGCAATGTTGGCTCACTGCAACCTCTGCTTCCCGGGTTCACCTGATTCCTCTGCCTCAGCCTTGAGAATAGCTGGGATTACAGGAGTGCACCACCACGCCCAGCTAATTTTGGTGTTTTTAGTAGAGACAGTATGGCCAGCCTGTTGGTCAGCCTGGTCTCGAACTCCTGACCTCAAGTGATCCACCTGCCTCGGCCTCCGAAAGTGCTGAGATTACAGGGGTGAGCCACTGTGCCCAGACTATTCTCTTTATTTTGCAAATAAAGAAGATGAGGCTCAAAGAAGTAAAGAGCCCATGTGTTTGAAGCCTGCATGTGGGGAGCCAGGATTTGAACCCGGCCAGTCTGAGTCCACATTCTGGGCTCATCATCACCATAACCCTTTGATGTGGGCCCTGTTATCTCCATATTACAGATGAGAGAAATGAGGCTCAGAGAGGGGAAAGTAACTTGCCACAGGACAGCATGGCATGACCAGGAGTGGAAGCCAGGTTTGAGGACTCCTGAGTCCAGGCCACCCCTCCTCACCTGCATAGGAGGGAGAGGAGCAGAAACAGGAGCGTGGGCTAGAGGGGCTGGGTGCATCTTCGGTTGACCTGATCTCACTAATAATAATAAGACAATTGTTGGTAGCTTATAATTTTCCAGGCACAAGTGTAAATGACTTTATCTCGTTTAATCCACCCAACAACTCTGCGATGAAGGTGCTGTCATTCTCCTCACTTTGTGGGCAGAGAAACTGAGGTTTGATGTGCTTACCTGGCTGCCCAAGGTTATACAAGCACGAGCTGGCATTTAAGCCCAGACAGCCTGACCCTATCGCCTGTACTTTTCACCCTTATTTTATTCTCCCTCCGCAAAAGAAACATAAAGGAGCAAAGCTTTATCTGGGAGGGGCTGTGTGACACCAGTCCTGGGGACATGGGGACATACAGAGAGGAGGGGATTCCTTGGAGAGGGGTTGGCTTCAGAGCAAAGGAGGTGGGGTCAGGAGAGAAGCATACGTCTTATACTCGATGCTGTAGACGGTGTCTGGGGTACCCTCTGGCCCGCTCTCCCAAGTCAGGATGTTTTCAAAGTTGCTGGACTGGAATTTCACGTTCTGGAGCAGATCTGAGAGGTCCTCAGGAGCATGAGCTGCAAGAGGGTGGAAGGAGGGTGAGCAGGGGCTTTCCCAGCGTCACCCTACCCACGTGTGGACTCAGAGTCCTGCTCCATATAAATTTCTTGCAAAGTGCCTTTGCTTTCAAGATGCTAGCCTGGTGGGTGAGCAGGCAGACCCCGGCCCCCAGCCTTCTATAAATAGGCCAGCGAGAGAGGACACTCCCCACACTGCTCTAAGGAACCGTCCACTGTCAGTCATTTTGCTTTGCATTGAGCCGTGATTCACATTCCACACATGTCACCACCTTAAGTGTTCAGTTCAATGGTTTCTTAGTATTTTCACAATGTTGTGCAACCATCACTACTATCTAATTCCAGAACAACATTTTCAGCACCACCCCAAAAAAACTGCATGCCCATTAGCACTCACTCCCCATTCTTCTCCTCCCCTAACCCCTGACAACCATGAATCTACTTCCTGTGTCTGTGCATTCGCCTACTCTAGACTTTTTATATAAATAGAGCCTTGGCTTCTTTCACTTAGCATAATGTTTTCAAGTTTCACACATGTGATTGCATGGATTAGTACTTCCTTTTTAGGGCTGAATATTATTCCATTGTGTGATACACCACATTTTGTTTATCCAGTCATCAGGACATTTGGGTTGTTTTTCCGTTTTGGCTACCATGAATAATGCTGCTGTGAACACTGCAATTTTATAAGTGGACACATGTTTTCAGTTGTCTTGGTTATATATCTAAGAGTAGAATTTGGTAGGTTACATGGTAGCTGTATCTTTAACCTTTTGAAGAACTGTCAAACTACTTTCTAAAGTGGCTGCACCATCTTTTTTTTCTTTGAGACAGGGTCTTGCTCATTCCCCCAGGCTGGAGTGCAGTGGCGTGATCATGGCTCACTGCAGCCTCAACTTCCTGGGCTCAAGCAATCCTTGCATCTCAGCCTCCCAAGTACCTGGGACTATAGCTGTTCACCACCACATCTGGCTAATTTATTTTTTAATTTTTTATTGTAGAGATGGGGTCTCACTATGTTGTCCAGGCTGTTATGGCTGCACCATCTTAAATTCCCACCAGCATTGTTCGAAGGGTTTAATTTCTCCACATCCCCATCAATGCTTGGTATTGTCTTTCACTTTTTAACACAACCTGAAGTTGGTGTCCTCACCCTTATTTTACAGATATGTAACTAAAATGTGTAAGAAGTAACTTGCCCCAAGTCAGTCATTTGAAGCAATGGTGGAGGAGGCGCTTGTGAATTCCGGTCTCTCCACTGGCTGAGCCCATCCCTGCCCACCCATCAGGCTGGCTTCTCAGAGGCAGAGTTATCTTGCACAAAATTTGTAGGGGGCAGGACTCTTGACTGAGCCTACACATGAGCAGGGTGACCTTAGGAAAGTTGTTTAAGCAACGAGAGCTTCAACTGCCTCATCTCTAAAATGGAAAGAGTTTGATTTACCTAAAGACAGACAATAATGGCAACGGCAGCCGCTGGCATTTGTGAAGTGCCCGACCTCTTACAGGCAAGTCCCTCGCTTCATTAAATCCTCACGACAATGTGCCCACTGTCACTATCCCCATTTGATGAAAGAGGAAAACTGAGGCTGAGAGAGAGCTGTTGCCCAGCTTCACAGTCAGCATGTGAAGAGCCTACAATATCCATCCCGTGCTAGACTGGTTGCGGGGCGCAGAGAGGGGGGCAGTGTCAGTGGATGTGTTTAGTGCCTAACAGGCCCCTAAGCACATGTGTGGAGTCCGAAGGGAGGAGGCCTGGGAAGGCCAGATGTTCGCTGTGTAGGGAGGGGGCTGTCTCGTTCACCCTTTTATATCAGGGTGGGCGACTTCAGGGACCTGAGCACCTGATAAATGGGTGAATTTAGGGAGGAGGAGAGGAGACAGGAGGAGAGAAGCTGGGCCTTTAAGAGTCCACAGCCTTCTCTTCCAGCTGAGCTCTGTGTGCGGCCCAGCTCTGCTTACGGTAAGCCAACAGAAGCGAAGGCCTCAGCCTCAAGGAAGGGGCTGGGGAGGGGCCGAAGCCACAAAGAGCCCTTAACTTATAAAGCTCTTCCCTCAGCCCCCCAGGCTTGGGCTGTGGACAGCAAGAGCCTGCGGCAAAATGGTGACCCAAGCTGGCAGCTGGCTCCTGACTCAGAGGCCCCTGTTGACTGGCCTGGGCAAAAAACCGGTGGGAAAATGTTCAGCACCCCAACTGGGTCAAGGCCTTGAGGCCTGGGTGTGTGTCTTTGATATGTCTATGCCTCTCCTTCCCCAGACACACCGACGACCACCGGCAGGCCCAAGGTGTGAGGGAGCGGACAGTTACTGATTCCCGCACTCCAAGAGGGGAGCTCAGGCTTGGCGAGGACTGGTGGGGATGGGGAAGCGTGGTCCGACCCTGCCGCACATCCTCTGGCTAACCTCGAAGGCTTCCCTCCTCTCTGAATCTGGGTTCTGGCCCAGCAGCTGCAAAATGTCTTCAGGCTTCCTGGAGTCCCCAGAATGGGGCCTTAGGGACAGCATGGGGAGGTGTCTACTGCCTCTACCCAAGATGACGGCTGTGCCGCAGAGCCTCAGGCTGCAGCTGACGTCCTGTTTGGATGTGAGACTGGGAGGAACTGGGGATACTTCTGGAGGGGGCCATGATGGATTCAGGGCTGAGTCTAAAGTTGGGGAAGGGAGTCCAGTCAAGTCAGACCTGGTGGGGTGGTACGTCAGGGCAGGAGGGTGAGGGTGGCATTTGAGAGGCTCCATAAAGGGTTGGGGTAGAGTCTGCAATGGGAACGGTTGCTGGTTGAGGTCAGTGTCCTGGGTGGGAAACAGGGCCCATCTGGGTTGAAGGCTGGTGGCTGAGGTGGGGCATGTTGCCAAGGCAAAGGACCCTGGGCTCCATGCAGGTTGGCACCACTTTTCAGGCAGGAACTGCAGTTGACTTCCTGAAGTGGGGTGAGTGGACCTCGGCCCACCCCTCTCTTTTAGGGGTATCAGGGAACTAACAAGGTCTCCCCTTTTCTCCTGCCCCACTCGCTCCTTCTCCTCCTCAAATCTGTCATCCATGCCTCAGCCTGTGCTGCTTCGGCCCTTCCTGGTTGAAAGTCTGTATTGTGAAACCGGGGGAGGCATGTGTTGTGTGGAGCCTGGCAGGCTGGCGGATTTATAAAAGGCAACATGTTTTTTCACATTCTTGTGGAAAACAACGTTCTGTCCACCAGCTGGGAAGCTAAGGAAAAACACACAAACAAGAAACAATTCCACATGCTCTGGAGTCAGCCTACGATTGGGGGTGTGAGGGGCTGGGCGTGCAGCATGAGACAGCTGACCCTCGACAATCTCCTAAGGGCTGTTTCTTGTGGATCCCCCGTCTCAAAGGGCCAGGAGCCTCTAGGATTTCCAACCAGTATGGCTGGGGTCTAAAGGAACGTGACTTGGGGCCTTGCGGGGGTGCCTCGCATCTTCCTGGGATGCCCAGCCTGATTCTGGGGAGCACAGACTGAAGGAACTCTACAGAGCTGGAAGTCCTGAGGGGAAGTGGCAGAGGGACCAGTGAGCTCTGCAGCTTTGTGGACCTCTTCCCGCCCTGGAGCAGGGAGGGCTTGGCTGAGGCCATACCTCGTCACCATCCTCAATCAGGACTATGCATTGACTTCCTAAGGAAGTTCCCTGAATTGAGCAGAGACAGAGTCTAGGGGCTCATGTAACATTCTCCATCATGAGGAGCCCCCAACCCACTTGATTGGCTTTGAACACTATGGCCTTAAGCTCTGTTTCCAAACGGGTCCTGTGTCTTAAGACCTATTAATGTAGCAGACCTAGCCACTCTAGGAGAAAATGCTTTCAGATCCGTAATAACAAAAGGGGCCAAAGAGGCCCTGCAGGGGCATGGAGGGTGGCAATGGCAGAACTCAAGCTCCATTCCCCCCATCCTTCCTCCGTCTCCCCTGTCAGGCCAGTGCCAGGTGAGAGGCAGAGGAAGGGACAGTACAGCCTGTGCCAGCACCTTTTGAGAGACCGAAGGATGTCTGCCTCCTCCAGGCCAATTCTCCATTCGCCGAGGTGCAGCGATCCAGCACCCCAGTTCGGACAGCTAGCTATATCCCCCAAGACCTGAGGGTCAGTTGGGTCCCTGGAAGAAGCCAGGGTCTGAGGCACCCTCTCATGCCCCCCAGCAACACAAGCTGGGCATTTGCTTCTCCGTGAACACCCGGCACCCCTCTCAGCCCTAGGAGGGAAGAAACGAAACTGACTATGCTGGGGCTGGGGAGGGTGCTGGGGAGATGACCCTGCTCATGGGCCCCTGGGATGGGGGAGGTCTGACCACAGGGTGAATGGGCACTCACCGGCCAGGGATCCCACAGCCAGGATGGTCAGCAGCGTCCTCATCGGGGCCGGCACAGAGCCCTCCCTTGGCCTCCACTCTGCCGTGCACAGAGGGAGGGCTGGGAGTCTTGGCGCCCTGGCAGCTGGCTCCACCCGCTCCACTCAAGCATGGGGCGGGGAGAATGGGGCGGGCGGAACCTGAGCCGGTGGGGAACAGGGGTACAAAGGTGCTCTGGCCTGGGTGCTCTGGAATTCCAGGTTCTGGGCGGGATCCAAGGGAGTTCTCTTCCGTCTTGCAGAAAACAGCAACAGTAACAGGCTGGCTTGTTTATCTGGTCTGGTGGCTGATTCATCCCAAGTGGTTTATCAGGGAGCTGAGGGGCAGAAAAGGCAAGAGTAACCCACAATATGCAGCTTATCAGAAAGCAATTTGGCACTGTGGATCAAAAGCCTACACCACAGGCCTATCTTTTGCTTTAATAATTCTATTCCTAGGGGATTTACCCTGAGGAAAATAACTGGACAAGAGAGGAAAAAAAAAAGTCCCAGAATGTTTCTTGCAGCAAAGGAAAAGCTGTGGCTCCTTTGTTTTGTCTGGCGGGAGGAGATAGAGGGTGCCTGATGCTCCTCCTTGACCCGCCATTTCAAGGCAGGTCCCCACACTTGGGGTGGGCTTGGGAACGGCTCTCCCCTGAAGAGGCTGTTGGGGGTGAGGAAGCCCAGACACTCTTACCTTGAGCCTTTGGGTCTAGGATCTGCAAAAGGTTAGAAAAAAAATGGAACTTGAACTTCAGTGATACTTTTTGCTGTGCTAGACATGGGGATGAAATTCATGAATGGGCCTTTGCTTCCGGACAATGAAGATTCAGGCTGCTCGCCCATGCTGTCATTCTGCCACATGGGGCAGGGTCTACAGAGATGAACACGAGCTTCGTGAGCTTCGTGTGAATGAAGGGACGGGTGTATAGGAAATGGTTTTCTGCTCCCTGCAGGGCCCCGGAGAAGGTTGAAGGGGCCTGGGGCTTGAACTCTGGTCAGGGTGGACATGATCAGAGGGTCCTGCCCCTGGGAAGAGTTTGCCTGGCCCCAGGCCACAATGACAAGCTGAGGTTTTAGCAGGGCTCCTGCCAAGCCCATTGGATATAATGGGCTGTGATATCCTGGATCCCTGTTTAAGTTTTTCTTTCCTGAATTGCCATTTGTTTGTTGTCAGCCCCGAGCCTTTGCTAAAGTTTGTTTGACAAATCTAAGGTGTGCTTTGAAGAAATGAAGATAGGGCCCATGCCAGTCATTTTCTGTAATTGCAGGAAACTACATTTCCCAGACTCCTTTATCAAAGGCTCTGATCTCTGCCTCATCAGTCTTCCCCCAGGGGTTAAACCTGGAGGAAGACTGGGGAGGCAGAGATCAGAGCATTTCTCCCCATCTTTTCTGCTTTAAGTGGCTTCCCCAGCAATGGCTGTGTCTAGCTCCCCCTCCCTCTGGACAGTCCACCAGCCAGGCAGCCCCCTCTGTCTCTCTTGCTCCTGTCTGGAGGCCAGCTCCTGGCTCTGGCAACACCTTCTCCCTGCATCTTTCCCTTCAGTTGGTAGGATGGCACAGCTTCCTGCTATGGGGAAATCTCTGAACTGTCTCCTTGTCCTGATTAGAGTCCCAGCTCCTCCATCATCTGGGTTACAAGCTCCTTTACATTCAAGTCCCTTGGTCTGAAAGACTGGTTTCTGTGATGCTGAATGAACCATGATGGATATAGGGTTTTTGATGACTTTGATGACAAGGCAGTATGGGGAGACTACAACCAGAGAAACAGGTTACAAGGAACCCTTAGGGAGAAGTAGGCTTTGGATTCTAGTGGCTGGGCAGGAGGACAAGACAGCCCCGCAGGCCTGTGGAACATGAAAGCCTTCCTTGGGGTCTCTCAGAAGCCCTGGAGGAAGGAACTTGATGGAAGAACTAGATGTCTTGTAATTATGGGGATCTGTAGTTATGTAGGAATTAACGGGAAGGAAGACACCTGGATTGCTAAGGAATGTGGGAACACCCAGACTTCATTTCTAGCAGTTTAAGAAAAAAATAGGCCGGGCGTGGTGGCTCATGCCTGTAATCCCAGCACTTTGGGAGGCCGAGGTGGGTGGATCACCTGAGGTCAGGAGTTTGAGACCAGCCTGGCCAACATGGTGAAACCCCGTCTCTACTAAAAATACAAAAATTAGCCAGGTGTGGTGGCAGGCACCTGTAGTCCCAGCTGCTTGGGAGGCTGAGGCAGGAGAATCACTTGAGCCCAGGAGGTGGAGTTTGAAATGAGCTGAGATCATGCCATTGTACTCCAGCCTGGGTGACAGACCTAGACTCTATCTCAAAAAAAAAAAAAAAAAGAAAGAAAAGAAAAAAATGAAAACAACCTCCATGTCTGACAATAGAGGTTTGGTTAAAAGAATAATATGTCCACCCAAAGCAAAACAAATGCAGCTTCCAAAATAATGCTGGAGAAAAATGTTTTGTGACCTGGTAAAGATTCATTGTATATTTTCAAGTGACTAGAAGCGTGTCGTAAACTATGTATAGTACCACCCTGGCTAAAACGCATACCTGTACATGCAGAGCAAACACCTTGATGGACATAGATGAGCACACTAGGGGAGTTATCTCTGGCTGGTAGTGGAATTGTAGGCAATTTTTCTTTTTTCCCTTTGCTTATCTGCGTTTTCTAAAGTTTATATAGGAAACATACTAATTTATATTAAGGGAAAGCAAGGTTACTAAACGTAACAAATAGGCACTAAAGACAGGCCTTTGTCTGGGTTCTACCCTCCTCCTGGAATGCCATTTCCATTCCCTTAGCCGACTCCCTTCTCCTCGAAGCTCACCAAGACAGTTTCTTCTTCCACAGTGTGGCCCCTCCTCGTCACTGCAGCCCATAACATCTCACTTTGAAAGTCCTTCCAGAGGCCAGGCATGGTGGCTTATGCCTGTAATCCTGGCACTTTGGGAGATCAAGGAGGGAGTATCGCCTGAGTCCAGGAGTTTAAAATCAGCCTGGGCAACATAGTGAGACGCTGTCTCCATAAATAATAAAAAATTAGCCAGGTGTGGTGGCACGTGCCTGTAGTCCCAGATACTCAGGCGCTTGAGGAAGGAGAATTGCTTGAGCCCAGGATGGGAGGCTGCGGTGAGCCGGGACTGCACCACAGCACTCAGCCTGGGCAGCAGAGAGAGACTCTGTCTCAAAAAACAAACAAAGAAACCAAGTCCTTCCAGAACGTGCTGCCTGGCCCCCATTTTGGCATTGTCCACTATGGTATTTCAGTTGTGTTACGTGTTCAAGAATGGAAAGGAGGCCGGGTGCCGTGGCTCATGCCTGTGAATCCAGCACTTTGGGAGGCTGAGGTGGGAGGATCACTTGAGGACAAAAGCTTGAGACCAGCCTAGCCAACATGGTGAAACCTCATCTCTACTAAAAATATAAAGATTAGCTGGGCATGGTGGCTCACGCCTGTAATACCCGCACTTTGGGAGGCCAGGGCCAGAGGATCACGAGGTCAAGAGATCAAGACCATCCTGGCCAATATGGTGAAACCCCATCTCTACTAAAAATACAAAAAAGTTAGCCAGATGTGGTGGCACGCACACCTGTAGTCCCAGCTTCTCAGAAGGCTGAGGCAGGAGAATCGCGAAAACCTGAGAGGTGGAGGCTGCAGTGAGCCGAGATCACACCACTGCACTCCAGCCTGGGCGACAGAGTGAGTGAGACTCCATCTCAAAAACAAACAGGCCGGGTGCAGTGGCTCATGCCTGTAATCCTAGCACTTTGGGAGGCTGAGGCGGGTGAATTGCCTGAGCCTAGGAGTTCAAGACCAGCCTGGGTGACATGGCAAAACCCTTTCTCTACTGAAAATAAAAATAAAAATATAAAAATAGCTGGGAGTGGTGGTGAGCACCTGCAATCTCAGTTACTCAGGAGGCTGAGGCACAACAATGGCTTGAACCCCGGAGGCAGAGGTTGCAGTGCGCTGAGATTGAGCCACTGCACTCCAGCCTGGGCAACGGAGCAAGACTATGTCTCTAAACAAACAAACAAAATATTGGGAAGGAGAGATTTGGGTTGGAGTGGAGGTGAGACATGAGCACTGTCTTCAAATATTTGCGGGGCTATTGCGTGGAGAAGGCTGTAGACCCTTTTTGTGTGACTGCCTCTGAAAGGAAGACTGGGGTGTTCCTGGGAGACATGGGGGGGCCGTTTTAAAATTTAAGGACATTGCTCTCACTATGATGATGTGGCTGCCTTGAGAGGCAGAAAGTTCTTGGCTGCTGGAGGTTTTCACAATGAAGCTGCTCCAGTGGTAGAGGTTCCCCAGATAACCTTGTTCTCTAGGCTCTACAACTGGACGGTGCTTGTCAAGCATTCTGAGTGCAAAGAGCTCCCTGCTACTCCTCTGTACCCTCCACATGGCTGAACGTAGAGCAGGTATCCAACATCCACTTACAGCATTGACCTTCAGAGCAGCAGGTTCGCCTTGCTGATTCTCAGACCCAGGAAAAGCACTTGCTTTCTGTCGGACAAATTTCTCCAGTGCATGTGTGCGCTGTCCTGCCTCCGAGAATCCCTTTCCACCTCCACTTTGCTGTCTCACTCCGATGCATTCTTCAGACCTCTTCTCAAATTCACTCCCATCAGGAAGCCCTCCCTGTGTGAGCCGCTCACTTGGTGGGGTTGGGAACACCAGCTCTGTTTTCCCAGCTCCCGGTGTGTATTGCATGGTGCTTTCCCGTTCCCCATGGAACTGACCACAGGGACAGCGTTCCCCATGGAACTGACCACAGGGACAGTGTTCCCCATGGAACTGATTACAGGGACAGCATTCCCCATGGAACTGACCACAGGGACAGTGTTCCCCATGGAACTGATTACAGGGACAGTGTTCTCCATGGAACTGACCACAGACACAGTGTTCCCCATGGAACTGACCACAGACACAGTG